GAGCCGACGAGCGGCCCCAGTGTGTCGACGTGCTCGTGCGCCTGCACCCGCTCCAGCGACGGGGCGCGCCAGCCGCGGTTGCCGATGCCACGGTGGCGGCGGGTGAGGCCGCTGATGGATGTGAGGGCGGGGAGGGAGGGGGGCGGGTCAGACACAGAGGGGAGGGCGGGGTTGATGCGCCCGACGGACGGCATGTCCCCATCGCTGAGCTCAGCCGCCTCGAAGGCGATTGTCGTGAGTGAGCCGTCGGGGATGTCGGCCGCCTCTCCCCGCCTCTCCGCCTCTGCCCTCTTCTCCGCCACCATGGCTGCGCGGCCCTCTGTGTGGCCTTCGATGAGTGCCGAGATGACGTCCAGACACCAGGCGCCCTCGCCAGCCGGGTGACAGCTCAAGATGCGGGTGAGTTTGGGCATGCGGCCGCCCCACCTCATGGCCACATTGACGGGCATCGCCTGCCAGAAGGCCCTGTCGGCGGCCCGGGAGCAGTCGATGTCCACCTGGCGGCACTGAGCCCCGGCCTCCTTGGCGATGCTGTTGTTGAAGAGCGGCCAGACGCCATAGCCGGAGATAAGAATGAGGTCCTCACGCGACAAACGCCTCCCAGCACCAGCAGACACCACCTGGATGGATGGAGACAACTCGAACAGCAAAAATGCCATCACCATGAGCTGCATGTTTGTCTGTGCGTACCGGTGTGGATTGCTGTGCTTTGGTGGTGGTCCCAACCGAGCTCACAGCACCGCCCTGCTGGCCATCCCTCTTGCCCTTCCACGAAAACGTCTTGCCGCCCATTCGCTGACATGGACACACACACGCAGAGAGAGAGAGTCAGGGATCCGCACTGGAGGTCCAACGCACGTGTGACTGTCGTGTAGAGTAGGTGCCTACCAGGTCTTGGTTGTGTTGGGGTGGTGGCTTGGTCCGATCCGGTACGGTGACCGGCTTGAGGTTCTCCTCCCTGCCCTCCACCTCCCGCATGAACACCACAGTGCCGCCATTGGTCTCCTTGGTGTCGTACACAGCGGCCGTCACCCACACAGAGTCGCCCCTTCTTTCCTCGGCCGCCACCGACACACGACTGCCGACCTTGTAACGAGGCGCACGCAATGTCTGACCTCACACACACACACACACGGCGACAGAGAGACGGATGGACTCATCGCTTTTGAGAGCCATTGTGGCGTCTATGCCGGCCTTACGAGTCTCTCGGCGAGGATGTGCGTCAGCTCGTTGCGAAGCGTGGAGTGGGCGTCGCTGAAGGTCTTGAGCGCATCCGCCAGCCGACCACGGTCCTGCAGACAGAGAAACACAGCCAATGTGCTGATGCGCGGTTCAATGAATTTCTCTGTTCTCTTTCCGTGGTGACCTCTGTATTGTCATCGAGCTGCGAGGTGCTGAGCTTCGCCGCCTCTGTGCACGCGGCCATCTGAGATGTCATCTGCAGAGCAGAGCAGAACGGAGCAATGCACCGTGTGTGGCGAAACGTCCTTTCTCACCGAGTCGAGCTGATCTATGACGTCACGCAATCTAACACTGCCATCCGCCGCGCCGCCCTGCACACCTGCACAACATGCACCAGCAACACCACACCACACACCCACATCTCCCCCGGTGTGAGCAATGCAACCGTGGCGGGCGTGACCTGCAGCTGCAGCGGCGGCCGGGCCGTCAGCCTTATCCATGCACTTGACGTTGGCTGGTCGGCAAAAGGATGTGCCGGTCGTGTCAGCCTCCTGCACACACCACACATCCACAGCAGATGAATGAATCATAGGCGCTGAGCTGGCGGGTGAGTGCTGGTCTCACCTGAATACGTTCGTTCTCAACGGTGCGATGAAGCTATTTCTCGAGAGAGACAAACATCAGCGGCCCTCTCCAGAACACCGGCGAGAAGGAAAGGATCTGATGCATGCTTCAGCATCCCCAATGCATGAAACGGATCTCGGCGGCGGGCTCGCACATCGCTCTACTGCACGTTTCTGCCTCTCTCCCCCCAGATCTGGGTGATGTGTGAGTAGATGCGATGGAAAACAAAGCGGGAGACTTCAATGTGTCCACGGTAATGACGCCTCGCACACCACACCAAAGCCAGCCAGCCTCTCCGCTCTCACCGTCTGTTCTGTCGATACATCGCATGGCTGTGTGGTGTGTGATGATGTGTGCAGGCCCTGCACGGCCTGCTGTCGTCGGACAGTGCCGTTGCCGCGGCGGCCCGGCAGTGGTGTGAGGAGCGGCGGGCTGACCCCCTCGAGTGGCTGAAGGAGCTGCTCACGTACCTCTCCATAAACAGAGACCTCAAGAGCAAAGTGTGTGTCGATGGATGGATGGATGGATGGATGGATGGATGTGCACGGCCGTCGCATCGCATTCTGTACAATCGTGTTGTGTATCTTGTGTGTGTTGTGTGTTGTGTGCAGATCCAGCGCGTTGCGGCTGAGGAGATCACGTCTACAGTGCAGTTGGGCGAACTCTTAGGTAGGCATGGCAGAGGATGTGCAGGCAGGCAGCTAGGCATGCACCAACCATGAGTATCGTTTTCCATGTGTTGCTTGCTTCCTCCCTTCCTTCAGCCGAGGAGGCGCCGGAGGTCTACCAGCAGGCGTTGGGTGTGCTCAAGGG